ATTTTCAACCCAATTGGCATTTTAGGACAAAATAACAAGAAAATTATTCTTTTTGTGATGTAAAAAGGGTAGCATTCGTAAAATTACATTGGAAATTGGCTCTTTGTGATATTCATATGTTAAAGGCACCATGCAAAGTTTGTTCACACTTTATATGGGGCCTTTAAGGCTAGGTAAATTTGAAATTTTTAAGGTTGTGTAAAACTGTCCTTTCTTTCTCTTAGTTTCTTTATCAGAGAAGCATAGATAGTTTTTTGGCATTCTGGGTAAATTTTAAGGTGGCCATTTTGGATTTTCCGTCCTAAAATTATTCTTATTATTAATTAGTCTTATTATAGTCCTCATTGAAAGCCAATGGTCCTGCTAAATTTTAAGCCGGCCACATTGCATTTTTCTCTTAAAATCTTGTCTATTCAACTCATTAGTGTTACATTCAGGATAAAAAATGTGCAGTATATAGGATCCCCCATTGGTGGGGACATGTTGTACACATTTGTGTTCTTGTTATATTTTATATAATATACAGGGTGTCCGGAAAGTAAAGATACAAATACTCTAATTTTAAGAGATTTAGTTTTTTGCAATGAAATCGCTACTGATTGTAGAGGTACTACATAACAAAACATCTACCAACTTTTATAACATATAGTCTAAATGTGTTAAAATTACGGTTGTCATGGTTATGGTGGTGAGGGGTATGCGGAGCAGTTCCAGGATATTGCTAAATTGTGATAAATTGCTAAAATATTACCATTTGAAATAGTGTTTATTATGGTATTTCTTATCAGTTTTTTTGTTTTGTTCAATGGTGTATTCTTGCTGCCATAGTATTTTCTTTAGTATAATGATATTATTGATACATATCAGAACTATGTAATGTCACAAGTATAACAAAGAAAAAGAGTATATAAGTGCTAAGAAAAAGGGTCTCTGGATGAATAGGAAAGTCAATAGTGCACCTCCACAGTCAATACTCCAATGCACAAATAAAAGCAAAGAAAACAAATCTGATAATTGAATGTCTTGACATTCACCTTTTTGTACAATGGCCCATATTTCCCTGATAATGTCCTGTTGGACTTTTACATTAATGAAAATGTTAAAGCAATATGTGTGAGAAGTTCAACATAAAAATGAGAATCGGCTGGAAGCCAATGTTATCAGCAATCTTAGAGACTGACAGCAAAGGTTTTGTGAGGTCTTTGAATCTCCGATCAAAATGCACCAAGAATGTTTAGATAAAGGTGGAAAATACAAAAGACTGGAAACAGTAGTAATGTCAAATGATTAACTAATGTTACAGTACTAATCCTTTTGCTTTTGTGGTACATAATTTGATGCATAATAGCAACAGACGACGGAGTTTCCAGATGATATGAACAGGAAGAAAGAATTAGAAAACATAATTGTGATGCTGCTCCACATACCCGTGACTCCCGTTACCATAACAACCATAACTTTTTTATTTTGCAACAATTTGTCATGGCAATTGCAGGATAACTTGTTACAACGTTATTCTACATTCTGTAGCAATTTCATCTTACAACAGGTAAATCTAATGAAATTAGAGCATTTGTACATGTATCTTTACTTTCCGGACACCCTGTAGATTAACTCGTCTTTTAAGAGACATAGCGAAGGATAAATAAAGTCTTAAAATGATTTATATTTACAACCTCCCATGCCCATTTGTATATAAAGATAAAGGGTTATTTACCAAAGAGAATGTCATAGTCACGTGAATACCGCCAGTTGCCATCGTTTATTACACCAACAAAGTTATTCACTGACGTTGACACAATTAGCTGCTTGTGTAGGAGGTGGTGCAGACAGATCACATAAATCTGCAATCTTGTAGCTCATGTATATCACTCGAAGATATCCCCTACAAAATAAATTTCCCAAAAACATGTATATTGTCAGTATTTTTTTTTAGATAAATATAAAAAATTTACAAAATTTAAGTATGAACTATTTACTGGTACATTATAGAATATCCTGTGAAACAGGCTACCTACCATGGAAACATCACATCTGTTTGTTGAATGGTGTTGTCATGGGATCCTCTCTTAGCTATTGTCAATATATCATTTGCTTCATTCAATGTCAGTATATTAATCTTGTTGCTATAGTCCTGCGATTGTTTATGCTCTAGCTCTCCTGGCATGCTCTGAATATCCTCTTAGATGATTTATTTTCTTACTCTGTTTTGTAAAATTCCATGTCATCAGATCTCTATATTTAGTCACTTTTTCCATACTGCACTTTGTAAATGTCTTCTTTTTACATTATCTCATGTAATGTTCTCCTTATATTCGCTTTCATTATGTTTCATGTCTTCTGGATCTCCTCTTAAGTATATTCATTCACTTTTTCTATATTGCACTTTGTAAATGTCTGCTTTTTACATTACCTCATGTAATGTTCGCCTTATGTTTGCTTTCATTATGTTTCTTCTTCCACCACCTGATTTCTCTCTCTTTGATTTTGTTCTTTTTAATGTCTTTCTGTTGTAATAAGTTTTACTATGTTTCATACCATAGTATGATGCTTTCCTTTTTTGTCTCCATGTTGAGCCATTCTTTTACCTTCTGTCTGTTCCCCTCCTGTGTCCTCATCTCCTTCATGATATTATGTCTGATCTCCATATTCTGTATATCCTTTTCATCTCCCATCACTTGATTGTACTTCTCTATGATCTTCCTCGCTTTGATATTAATATCCACCTTTATGAAGTTATACTGTATGTTCTTCTGTCTGATCTTCTCCTGTCTGATCTTCTCCTTTCTGATCTCTCTTTCTCTCTGTCTGTTCTTCTCCTTTCTGATCTCTCTCTCTGTCTGCTCATCTCCCATAACTTGTTTGTACTTCTCTATGATCTTCCTCACTATGATATCAATATCCACCTTTATGAAGCTATGCTGTTTGTTCTCCTCCTGTCTGATCTTCTCCTTTATGATTTCATATCTGATCTCCTTCTGTATGTCCTTATCATCTACCATCACTTGTTTGTACTTCTCTATGATCTTCCTCTCTATGATATCAATAACATATATATCATATATTTGTTCTTCTCTTGTATAATTCTCTCCTGTCTGATCCTCTCCGTATGATCATCTCCTGTATGGACCATATATGGACCAAATAAGATGAGAGTTACTTCATTTCCCCACATTGCTCCACAGTTACCCACATTTTTCCCTGAGGTAAAAGTGTGTAAAAACAAGAGTGCCATCTCCTGTTTTTACCTAATTTTCCATGCCACACATGGGAGGATTGAAGTAAAAATGTGTAGAACTAAGTGAGAACATGTACCCTTTTTCTCCACGCATGTCACAAGGCTTTTCTCCTAGGGTATCTTATCTTGGCGGGGTCTGTAGGGTGCCTCAAAATAATTTTTTTTTGTAAATGTTACGCTCCCTACGTGAATCGAGTTGCATTTTGGGGTAAATATCACCTGTGATTTTTTTCAAATTTTTTAGTCAACTTTTAGGGGTCCCCCACAGCCTTTGAAGTTTGCCCATAGGCTTAACATTTTGTGGGCGTCACCCAAAATTGTACTTTTGTAGGAGCTTTTTTTTGTAGTGATTTATCTATTTTGTTTGAAGAAAAACAACATTGTATATGATATGATTAGATGTTTAAATTATCATATTAATCTGTTTCACCATGCAAACTTAGATAAAAGTTTATACTTACAATATCCTATTAACAAAATATTACATGTATCAGGTACATTCGACCAGTATAATTATTTGAACAAGCACAGTTTTAGAGAATCATGTCTCATATATGATTTGGTATTGTCATTATAATGGTTTAAACTGTAAAATGTATATTCATTCTTGACATTTAATGTTTTAAACATGGTTCAGATCAGCTTTTCTTTTATGTGACACTCTTCCTCTATGATATGAGCGTACAACACATACATTGTCACGATGGGCTGCGTCACGGTTCATTTGAGAGCATTCCTGTACCAGCTTCACTGCTCGTTCAGCTGGATCATTAACAGAATGCAGGTCTTTACAGAAATTCTTGGTTTGAACATAAGTTGGATATGTATGCCATGCAATGGATTCTCATGAAGCCATATAATTGGATCTGATTCCAGGAGGTGAAATAAGAGCAATTAGATTTCAGTTACAAACATTGCTAGTGATGGTTTAACATTGCCTAAGTGAGCAGCAACTGGGTTAAAGTCAGGCTGTCCTGGTTTGCCAGTTGCAAATTGTACAGGCCGTGGGATGTTGAGCAGTGCTGAAGCAAGCTCCTGCTTCTCCTTTCTGGCAGTGTATTCGTCGAATAGGGACAAAATAACTAATTTAGGGCAGAGGTACCATAGATGGCGTCTTACACTGCGAAGAGCTGCGTTTGCTATATCAGGGTCGTACTGGCAATAGAATTTCTGTCAAGACCTGCATTCTGTTAATGATCCAGCTGAACGAGCAGTGAAGCTGGTACAGAAATGCTCTCAAATGACCCGTGACGCCACGCATCGTGACCATGTATGTGTTGTACACTCACGTCATAGAGGAAGAGTGTCACATATAATAAAAACTGTTCTGAACCATGTTTAAAACATCAAATGTCAAGAATGAATATACCTTTAACAGTTTAAACCATTATAATGACAATACCAAATCATATATGAGACATGATTCTCTAAAACTGTACTTTTTGAAATAATTATACTGGTCGAATGTACCTGATATTTTGTTAATAGGATATTGTAAGTATAACCTTTTATATAAGTTCACATGATGAAACAGAGTAATATGATGATTTAAACATCTAATCATATCATATACAATGTTGGTTTTCTTCAAACAACATATATAAATCACTAGAAAAAAAGCTTCTATAAAGTATGATTTTGGGCGACGCCCACTAATGTTAAGCCTATGGGCAAACTTCAAAGGCTGTGGGGGACCCCTAAAAGCTGACTAAAAAATTTGAAATAAATCACAGGTGATATTTACCCCAAAATGCAACTCGATTCACGTAGGGAGCATAACATAAAAAATTATTTTGAGCCACCTCTGTCTGCTCAGGTAGAGGCTCATCTCCTCTATTATTTCATGTCTGATCTTCTCTTGTATGTCCGTTCCATCTCCAATTATTTCTATGTACTTTTCTAATATCGTCCATGCTATGATATCAATATCCACTTTTATGAAGCTCTCCCACGGTAAGATCTTCTGTCTGATCTCCTTCTCTCTGATCACCTCCTGTCTGATCTTCTGTCTGATATTCTCCTGTCTGATCATCCCTTCTTTCATCTCTTCCTGAACTTTAATTTCTTCTTGACGTTTAATCTCCTCCTGGCGTCTTAATTCTCCTTGATGTGTGTTACTTTGTTTCTCATATTCTAGATTCTTCGTAATCAAATTCTTCCACTTGTCCCACTCTTCCAACATTTTATCCTTGGATATTATCTCTACATCCCCTGTAAGACTGATACAAATAGGGTTGTTAGGGTCAGGCCAATACGGTTCATAAGGAAATGGAGGAGAGGATAAGAGAATGTTGAGTTCACTGCCTTTGTGTCTCAGATCTCTAAGTTGGCTGATGCAATTATTAATGCGTTTCATTGTAATATTGCTAGTGTATTTTAACTCAGAGTCACTGGTAATATGGATGTCTGTCAGCTGCATGCTGTATTTACAGATCAATTGTAGACAAATAGACAGAGCCTCTCTAGTACCTAGCAAGTTTACTGCCTCTGGGGAAGATTTCATGAACTCTACTAGAATGTAGAGTACAAGTGTGAATAATATATCACAAGGTTTCAGATTGTCTGATTCCTCAATAACATCACCACCAGGATAGCCAAAATTGGAAATACTTTTCAACCACTTTGAACTTATGATAAGATCTTCACTATTTGCTTCATCACTCTCAGTTCCAAGTCTGAATACTTTTTGAGATACATCATTGAAACACCTGTCTAGTAATGTTCTATCTTTACATTGGTCACGGTGGTGGAGGACCAGAGTCTTTAATACATGGGAATTGTATGTTGATCGATATTGATACTTTTTACACTCAACTAAGCAGTATTTAAGAATCATCAAAATCTTTCTGTGATGTTTGTCAAGTTCCTTATTTCCAGGTATATATTCAGTAGGTATCCATGCATTTAAGTTTTTCCGAGGCAGAACAAAGCATTCTCCCCTATATCCGCTCTTATCTTCTATACAGAATGTCATATCCACATATGTGACACAGAGTGGTCCACCAATGGCCAGAGTTATACATGGTCCATCAGTATTGGTATCAAGTAATACTTCATTGAGCTCCAGTGTTCTTGGGTCCACATTCTTCGAATCTGAAAGTTCCCTTTTACTGGCCTTGAGGTCACATTGACCTTTGTAAACAAATTGCTTTCCTCTGTACACCAGTCTGCTAGTGAGATAATTGAGGTCAAAAAGTGACAAAAATCTGGATTCTCCTTTACCTAGCTCATCTAAAGCTTCAGAGACAGCTCTATGTAGTGGTTTAAGAATATCATCATATGGATGGAGTTCCTCCCTGTCTTGCTTTGTCTCGCTAGATTTGAATATATGATAATTGTTTTTGTTGATAAAGACTTTTTTAGTATTTTGTACTCCTGCTCTAATTTCTGTAGAAATATTTAATGGATTTAAAAAGTCAAACTCATTCGGAATTTCAACTTTTGTTTCTTGGTAGAAACTTCCATTTGTTAGTTTAGGATGAGTTTTAAATCTAGGATCCAAATCGCCAACTGCTTCTGAGACAACATCTACAACATTCTCTATAAAGTCCTTGTGTTCCTTCACATCTTCATCTTCATAGTTCACCTCAATACAATCAGATATTTCTTGGGTACAAAGTGTCAATCTCTTTTCCTTGCATATTTCACAGTCACCAGCACTTGTAAAGGCACTGCATACCTCAGGCTTAGAAAAAATATTTGGCATTATAAAAAAAGTATTTACTGTTTGTTTCCTTCCATTTGACGAGTTCAGCTCTTCATTTATTTCATACTTTATTTCACTATTGCCTCATGCCTTCACATGCAAGTGTTTTTATTTCAATGACACATTCATGTTGGCAAAGTATTGTCTGCTTTAGAATCCATGACATGAACAGAATATGAGTATTTATTTTGGCTGTTGTATGAGTTTAATGTATCTCTTAATCAAGTCGAAGTCCTTCGTTCAATTTATAGGAACTACTAAAATAGCAAGAGAGATATAAATCTAGAGAGTTAACTAATAAACTGACACCTGTTTATTTCATACTTTCTTCACTTTGACCATTGGCATGTTTGCAAACTATTGACTAGTTGAGAATCTGTGACATGAACAGGATATAAATTCTTATTTTTTGCTTCGTTTTAACTTCATGATAATCTGGACATTTTTATGACCATCATGAACGTAATGATTTATAATTGAAGTGGTCATATAAATTTTGTGTCAGATAAAGACCATATCTCGAAATGAATCACAAAAAACATCATCTATTGCTCTTTTTATATAAGAATTAGAACAACTTTCTCTTTGAGGCCTATGGCAAATAAATAAATATGCCAATGAAATCAAGAGCTAATGCCATATTGTAAAATGAATATATAAAACAAAACCGAAGGGTGAAATTATGTTGTTATTTGGTATTGTTATTTGGTACAATTACTGGTAAAAGACATTTATGGGGAAATAACTGCAGAAAAGTGTCTATAAACCCTTTCATGACCAAAGGCTCCAAATTTAGCCATATTATAGGCTCCTTTTGGCACCATTATTTCTATTTATATACATCAATGAAATGACAATTTCAGTTCTCGAATTCTATTCAATATTTTTACACAAAATTTTGACAGGTTGTTAAAATGTGATTAGCCTTACTACAAATTGTGTTTCAGTAATAAATTTAAGGTATAGGTCCCCGGGAGGAAGGTTATTTGCAATTTATCTTTATTTAGTTATCTTTATTAGACTCCAGATGTCAATCTGGAGTCTATTGTTTTTGCCAGTATTCTTCTTCTTTATTAGACTCCAGATGTCAATCTGGAGTCTATTGTTTTTGCCAGTATTCTTTATTATTATTATTCTTTGTTTATTATTCTTTCCCAGTTTTCTCGTTAACTAGAAGATATTGGGTCAAGTCTTATATATGGTCCATTTAGGTCCTAGATCTAGTTTCTCGGAAATTTGGTCAAATTTTTATCTAGGTCAAAGGTCAAGAACTAGGTCAAATCTTACATTTTCAACATTCTGTCATTTATCTTCGTCGTTGTTTATCGTAACTCCTAAATCTTTTTTTCATCATGTAGCTTCGAAAGAGCCAAAGCAAAGATATGACATTAGATTTTTGATTACTCTTACCGATTTTGAAATATGGCGTCCAGAAAGTAGGTCACAATGAAAAGTTCTCCAAATTTGACATATGAGTTATGAATTAAGGGTAGAATTTTCTCAGGAATCCGAATCTGCAAACCAAATTTCGATCCGACTTCCGGTTCGAAAGTTATGGCGTTTTGAAATTTTGAGAAAAATCGATCTGATGATATCCTTATAGAAAGTCAAGAGTAGTGAAGAAAATATAGAAAAAATCATCCTTCCATCCATCCTATATATCCTATCCTATATCTTATCCTATATCTATCCTATATCCTATCGTATATCCTATCCAATCCTATCCTTCTTTCCTATCCTTCCTATCCTATCCTTCCTTCCTATCCTATACTATCCTATTCTTTCTTCCTATTCTATCCTATCCTTCCTTCCTATTCTGGAAGGAAGGATAGGATAGGATAGGATAGGAAGGAAGGATAGGATAAGAAGGATAGGAAAGAGGGATAGGACTGGACGACTTGGCTTATTCTGGACGACTCGGCTATATCCATCCCACCTATCCTATTCAATCCTATCCTTCTTTCCTATCCTTCCTATCCTATCCTTTTTTCCTTCCTTCCTATCCCATCCTTCCTATTCTGTCCTATCTTATTCTTTCTTCGGATTCTATCATATCCTATTCTATCCTTCCTATCCTATCCTATACTATCCTATCCTTTCTTCCTATTCTGTCCTATCCTTCCTATCCTATGAATTCATCCATTCATCCATCAATCCATCCATCGGCTTATTCTGGATGACTCGGCTTATTCTGGATGACTTGGCTATTTTGGATGACTCGACTATAATATCCACCCAACTATCCTATCCAATCCTATCCTTCTTTCCTATCCTTCCTATCCTATCCTTCCTTCCTATCATATCCTACCCTTCCTATTCTGTCCTATCTTATTCTTTCTTCGGATTCTATCGTATCCTATTCTATCCTTCATACCCTATACTATCCTATCCTTTCTTCCTATTCTATCCTATCCTTCCTTCCTATTCTGTCCTATCCTTCCTCCTATCAATCCATCCATTCATCCATCAGTCCAGCCATCCACCTGCTTATTCTGGATGACTCGGCTTAGGCTGGATGACTCAGCTTATTCTGGATGACTCAGCTTATTCTGGATGACTCGGCTGAAAAAGGTCTTAATCTGGAGTCTGAAATTGAACTTGTTCAATTTCCAAAGTCTAGTTATTATTAGACTCCAGATGAAAATCTGGAGTCTATTGCTTTCGTCAGTTTTCTTTATTATTATTATTTTTCTTTCAGAATCTTCCTCCTTCCCAGATTTCTCACCAACTAGAAGAATTTACTTTAAGCTGCTTACATGATTAACTAGGGGCAGTACCTGGGATGATGGGAAATTAGATCAAATTTTTATCTAGGTCCAGGGTCAAGAACTAGGTCAAATCAAGGTCAAATCAACATTCTGTCAATTATCTTCGTTGTTGTTTGTCGTAACTACTTCATCTTAGTTTCTACATGTAGCTTAGAAAAAAACAAATCGAGAGTGTGCCATCCGTTTTTTGATTACTCTTAGCGATTTTGAGATATGGCGTCCTGAAAGTAGGTCAAAACCAAAAAAGTCTCCAAATTTAATATATGAGCTATGAATTAAGGGTAGAATTTTCTCAGGAATCCGAATCTGCAAACCAAATTTTGATTCGACTTCCCGTTCGGAAGTTATGGCGTTTTGAAAGCTCAAAAATCGCTAAATTTGGTGCCCATGTTAAGTCAATGGGAAAAAAGATTTTTTTGAAGTGAAAAATACGAAATATAGACTGAGTTCAGCTAAATATAATGAAAGCTTTTAAAAGAAGGGGACCTCGTAAGCCATCTAGCTTCAAAATTTGGACACCAAAATGCCTAGGTCAAAATCTAGGTCAAATTCAAAGTTTTTCCTTATTTTTGCGATTCTGACACAACAGATTAATTATATTCTTCGAAATTTTGTATACATATAGCTAAGAGTCTGCTAATAGTGTTAGCCTTTTGCCGTCAGAAAGTATTTTGCCCCATTTTTGAGATATGGTGTCCGAAAAGTAGGTCAAAATAAAAAATTCTCAAAATTTGACGTTTGAGTTATGAATTAAGTATAGAATTTTCTCAGGAATCCGAATCTGCAAACCAAATTTCGATCCGACTTCCGGTTTGGAAGTTATGGCGTGTCCGAAAAGTAGGTCAAAATAAAAAGTTTTCAAATTTAACGTATGAGCTATGAATTAAGGATAGAATTTTCTCTGGAATCCAAATCTGCAAACCAAATTTCGATCCGACTTCCGGTTTGGAAGTTATGGCGTTTTGAAAGCTCAAAAATCGCTAAATTTGGTGCTCCATGTTATGTCAATGGGAAAAAATTTTTTTTGAAGTGTAAAATACGAGATATAGACTAAGTACAGCTAAACATAATGGAAGCCCATAAAAGAAGGGGACCCTCAAAACCTTCTAATCTTGAAAATTTGGACAACAAAATGCCTAGGTCAAAATCTAGGTCAAATTCAAAGCTTTTCCTTATTTTTGCGATTCTGACACTACACTTTAATTATATTCTTAGAAATTGTGTATACATGTAGCCAAGAGTGTGCTAATAGTGTTAGCCTTTTGCCGTCAAAAAGTATTTTGACCCACTTTTGAGATATGGTGTCCCAAAATAGGTCAAAATAAAAAAATCTTCAAATGTAACGTATGAGTTATGAATAAGGGGTAGAATTTTATCAGGAATCCGAATCTGCAAATCAAATTTTGATTAGACCTCCTGTTCGGAAGTTATGGTGTTTTGAAAGCTCAAAAATCGCTAAATTTGCTGCCCCATGTTATGTCAATGGGAAAAAAGATTTTTTGAAGTGTAAAATACGAGATATAGACTGAGTACAGCTTAATATAATGAAAGCCTATTTAAGAAGGGGACCTCGAAGGCTACTTAGCTCCAAAATTTGGACACCAAAATGCCTAGGTCAAAATCTAGGTCAAATTTATAGTTTTCCCTTATTTTTGCTATTCTGACACTATATTTAAATGATTTGCTTTACAATTTTGTATACAGGTAGCAAAGAGTATGCTAATAGTGTTAGCGTTTTGCCGTCAGAAAGTATTTTGACCCACTTTTGAGATATGGTGTCCGAAAAGTAGGCCAAAGTAAAAAGTTTTCCAAATGAGCACGTGGGTTATCGCAAACAATTTCAGAAGGTTATATCTTGGATTATGACTATTTTCTGACAATGAAGACAAGTTTATCTTTTAGATCAATTCATTATCTCAAAGAAAATTATGCACAGTAATAATAAATTCAAACAAACTCGGAGATATTTAACTAGCAATTAACCCATCAACACACTTTTTGACCCCATTTTGAAGATGTTGACCCCATTTTCACCAAAAATGCAATCATTTTTTACAATGTTTAATGCATTACTATTCTTTATTTTGATGTATCAAATAGTTCTTGAAAGAAAAACTTAATTGCATTAAGATAAGTGTTCCCCATGTTATTTCTCCATTGAAAAATCTCATGCTATCCATTGGTTTCAGTTCATCTTGGTCATCCTAATTGAATATCTTTAAAGTCCCTGGAGCAATCAAATTTTCCTTTTAGGAAATCGAACATGTCTCAAAGCACATTCTAATTATGCATTCAACAATATAATAAAAGGTTGCATTTTTGGTGAAAATTAGGTCAACATTTTTGAAAAAGTATGTTGATTGGTCCATTGCCCGTTCAATATCACTTAGGTCTGATTAACTAAATTATCATTATATATACTTTTCTTGAAGATAATGAGTGGATCTAAAAGATACACCCATGTTCATGATCAAAAAATATTCATAATTCAAGTTAGAATCGTTTGAAATTGTTTGCGATAACCTACATGCTCCTTTAACGTATGAGTTATGAATTAAGGGTAGAACTTTCTCTGAAATCTAGATCTGCAAACCAAATTTCGATCCGACTACTTGTTCTGAAGTTATGGCGTTTTGAAATCTCAAAAATCTCTAAATTTGGTGCCCCATGTTAAATCAATGGGACCAAATAATTTTTTGAAGTATAAAAATAAGAGATATAGAATGAGTACAGCTAAACATAATGAAAGCCCATAGAAGAAGGGGACCTCAAAAGCTACTTTCCTTCAAAGTTTGGACACCAAAATACCTAGTTCAAAATCTAGGTCAAATTCATATTTTTTTATTTTGCGATTCTGACACTACACTTCAATGATATTCTCCGAAATTTTGTAAACTTGTAGCAAAGAGTGTGCTAATAATGTTAACATTTTGCCGTCAATAAGTTTTTTGACCCACTTTTGAGATATGGTGTTCGAAATGTAGGTCAAAATAAAAAGTTCTCCAATTTTAAAGTATGAGTTATGAATTAGGGGTAGAATTTCCTCAGGAATCCGGATCTGAAATTAAAATTGCAATCCGACCCCCGGTTTAGATTCTACGCCATTTTGAACTTTGAAATTCCACTTGCCAGTATTCACGATGCAGATTGATCAAATATACTTTCAAAAATTCCTGCATACCCTACTTTACCTCTCTACCTACTCAGCTACTTATTTGACTACTTACTCAATTACTTAATTAGTTATTACTTCCTTAGCAACTTACTCAGCTACTAACTCAGGTACTTACTCAGGTACTTACTCAGCTACCTACTCAGCTTTTTACTCAGTTACTTACTCAGCTACTTACTCAACTACTACTAAGGTACTTACTCAGCTAATTACTCAGTTACTTACTCAGCTCTTTACTGATCTATCTAGGTCAAATAAATCTGGAGTCTTAAATTGAACTTGTTCAATTTCACAAATCTAGTTATTATTCTTCCAACGTTTTCTCCTTAACTAGAAGACATTGAGTCAAGACCTGTATATGGTTAATTCAGGTCCAGTATCTAGTTTCTCGGAAATTAGGTCAAATTTTTATCTAGGTCAAAGGTCAGGAACTGGGTCAAATCCAGTACTTTGTCACTTTTTTCAATTTTCTCAGTCGTCCTTCAGTATTTTCGATCCGGGTTTTTTTCATTGTGTTCCTCATAAAAAAGTAGGAAACCTAGGGTCGATTTAGTTTTTTGATATCTCGAACCGATTTCGAGATATCAGTGTCCGAAAACGAGGTCTGAAAAAAAGTTCTCCGATGTCCAGGATAATAGTCTTATAGATAATTTTCTCAGGATTCCGAATCTGAAAACCGAATTGATATCCGACTTCCGGTTCAGGAGTTATGACGTTTTGAAAGTTCCAGGAAAATCGATCTGATGGTACCCTCATAGAATGTCAAGAAAAGTGAAATAAAATTGAAAAAATACCAGTCCAGTCCATTTCCAGGTCCAAGTCAAGGTCAAGTCCAGGTCCAAGTCCAGTTTTGTCCAAGTCAAGTCTAGGTCCAAATCCAGTCCAGGACCTAGATCAAAATTTAGGTCTATCCTATCCTTTCTATCTAGATGATCTTATTCTGGATGATTCTCCCTTCCTATCTATCCTTCCTTCCTATCCTTCCTTCCTATTCTATCCTATTCTTCCTTCTCATTCAATCCAAGTCCAGGTACATGTCCAGGTCCAAGTCAAGTCTAGGTCTAAATCCAGTCCAGGGCCTAGGTCAAAATCTAGGTCAAATTCAAAGTTTTTCCCTATTTTTGCGATTCTGACACTACACTTTAATTATATTGTTCGAAATTTTGTATACTCGTAGCCAAGAGTGTGCTAATAGTGTAAGTCTTTTGCCGTCAAAAAGTATTTTGACCCACTTTTGAGATATGGTGTCCGAAAAGTAGGTCAAAATAAAAAGTTCTCCAAATTTAACGTTTGAGTTATGAATTAAGAATAGAATTTTCTCAGAAATCCGAATCTGCAAACCAAATTTTGATCTGACTTCCGGTTCCGAAGTTATGGCGTGTCCAAAAAGTAGGTCAAAATAAAAATTCGCCAAATTTGACGTATGAGTTATGAATTTGGGGTAGAATTTTGTCAGGAATCCGAATCTTTAAATCAAATTTTGATCCGACTTCCAGTTCGGAAGTTATGGCGTTTTGAAATTTCGGAAAATCGATCTGATGGTATCCTGATAGAAAGTCAAGAGTAGAGAAGAAAATATTGAAAAATTAATCCATCCTTCCTATCTGATCCTATCCTATCCTTCCTATCTATCCTTCCTTCCTATCCTTCCTATCCTCTCCTATCATATCCTTTCTTCCTATTCTGTTCTATCCTATCCTTCTTTCTTATTCTATCCTATCGTTCCTTCCCATTCTATCCTACCTTCCTATTTTATCCATCCATCTTATTCTGGATGACTCAGCTTATTCTGGATGACTCGGCTTATTTTAGATGACTGGTCTTAAAAAAAGTCTAGATCTGGAGTCTGAAATTGAACTTCGTTCAATTTCCAAAGTCTAGTTATTTTTACTATCCATCACAAGGCCAACATTTTCCTCTTATATTCATGAAGGGAAAGGGTTAATTAAGAAACACCTATTCCTATATTTTGTCAATCACCTATTTATGAATTCTATTTTTATTTTCAGAGACCTGCTATTGGGGATAGCTAGCAATAAACATATTAAGAACTTGGAGCTGGATCTAAGTTCTAATGAATTCAAAACTACAGGGGCCAATATGATTGGTAGTTGCATAGCAACCATTCGTAACATTACCAGACTGGATCTTAGTGACAATGGTAAGAAAGAAGATAAATGGTCAAGATATAGTATAGCTAAATTCATTCAACCTCTGACTACCTGGAGTAACAAGATTTAAAGTAAACTGAAATTCATCATCTTATTGTGAAATTAAAAAAATGGAGCATATAATGCATACGATTGCTGATGACAATAAATTTTGAAAATAATGTTTTTTAGAAATTGAATATGGAAAATATTTCATCAGGAACTTTATATACCAATTGAAATTTCTTTCTTTTTATCGTTTTGTATCATGTCATGCTGTCTTATAAAATTCCAGGTTTCGACTCTGATTTGAAGAGTTTGCTAGGCTGGGTGTCTCAGAATCGCTACATTAAGCATATAGCCTTAGGACGTAACTTCCAAAATGTTAAACCTAAAAATCTGGAAGACGTCCTGAATTCTGTAGTAGAGCTGATACAAGAGGACAATTCTGTAAGTTCTGTCATCATTTTTACTCACATTCTTAGCGATTGGAATTTCCCACACTTCCATCTCTCTAATTGTATGTCTCTCCCTCACTCCATACCTCCATATGTCAACGATTTTGAGTCAAATTAGAATGTTCTGAACTAAGGCTCATAATCATTTTAGATATACAAAAGAAATTAACATTATAAGCGAAATCTTCTTCCATTTTCTTGTTTAGGAGAAATCAGCATTTCACCAAATTCCCCATGTCAGTCCATTGCTAAATATACAACTGTTTATCAAAGTCCATCTCTTCCATGTTCATTAAATATTTCAATAATATTTTCAGCCACTGGAGAGTATATCTTTAGCAGATTCCAAACTGAAAACTGAGACAACAGTTTTCATCAATGCACTGGGAAGCAACTCAACTCTAAGATCAATTGATATAAGGTGAGAGACATTTGAAAGCATATATTCTGGTCAATTCCAAACTTAAGAATGAGACAACAGTTTTCATCAATGCACTGGGAAGCAACTCAACTCTAAGATCAATTGATATAAGGTGAGAGACATTTGAAAGCATATATTCTGGTCAATTCCAAACTTAAGAATGAGACAACAGTTTTCATCAATGCACTGGGAAGCAACTCAACTCTAAGATCAATTGATATAAGGTGAGAGACATTTGAAAGCATATATTCTGGTCAATTCCAAACTTAAGAATGAGACAACAGTTTTCATCAATGCACTGGGAAGCAACTCAACTCTAAGATCAATTGATATAAGGTGAGAGACTTTTGAAAGCATACATTTTGGTCAGTTCCAAAAACTGGATGATGGTTGTAAGAATTGATGACAGTCAATATGGTGATGTCACCAAGAAGTCTGATGATGCCACCAAGAAGTGGTAACATCTCATAAAAGTATGATATCATCAGAGTGGTGATGCCACCAATAATTTGTTACAATTTCTTTTTGTGACCATTAATTAGTAACCATCTGTAATAATCGTTAAACCATTTATGTTACCACCATTCTTTTTTCTTCCAGTGGAAATAACATGGGTGATGTTGGGGCCAGGATGCTGTCCAAAGCTTTACAGATAAACACAAAGCTTCATACGGTATATTGGGACAAAAATAACACAACAGCTCAAGGTTTTGATGACGTCGCTGCTGGATTACAGAGGTATGACAACCGGTGCCATCTTTACTATACATGGTTTCTGATAAACATAATTAGCTGGCAAAATTGTATTTTACGAAGAACATATTTGGATAAAAGAAAGAGGAGGAAATACTCCAGGTTTCAGAGATGACTTAAACTTCAATTTAAATTTAATATACAGAGATGACCATTGTTGCTGACTAGTCAAATGACATAGAAGCTGACAAAAACAAAATGGCAGATTTGAATAATATGACATTAGTCAAATGCATGTTGACCAATATTATTGGTTAGAAACCCATGCCTCTCTATCGTTTCAAAAAATTTACCTAACATATATAGCTTGGTATTGAAAAATGTAAGGAATAATTATCCCATCGAACGAAGTTCGGAGGGATATAGGGAACGCCTCCGTCCGTCCGTCCGTCCGTCCGTCTGTCCGTCCGTCCGTCCGTACGTACGTCCGTCCGTCCGTCCGGGCAATAACTCAAATACCGTTGGCCCGATTTTATTCATATTTTGTACACATATACCCTATGGGAGTAGAAGTTCTGCTCGAAAGCCGATTTTCAAAATGGCCACTCATTTCAAAATGGCGGCCATTTTAGTGCCGAATTTACAGTAATTTAGATGCAATATGTAAAACTGTAATAGCAATATGTTTTAGATGTAAAAAATTATATAGGACATTAATAAAGCTAGAAATGTAGATATTAAAGAAGCACGTGGCAGCCATCTTGAAAAATGGCGGTCTTTACTCGTTATTTTACGATTTTTGCTGTAACTCGAAAAGTAGTGGAGCGATTTTGTTCATATTTGGTATGTAAATACTTTAAACATTGCACACTGTCTAAAGACTATTTAAGTAGAAGGTGGCCATTTTGAAAAATGGCCGCCATTTTTCAAAATGGCCACCATTTTAACGTATTTTACTATAACTCGAAAAGTAGTGGAGCGATTTTGTTCATATTTGGTATGTGAATACTATAAGCATGACACACTGTACTTTGACACTTTTGGTAGAAGGCGGCCATTTTGAAAAATGGCCGCCATTTTAACGTATTTTACTATAACTTGAAAAGTAGTGGAGCGATTTTGTTCATATTTGGTATATGAATACTATAAGCATGGCACATGGTCTAATGACACTTTTGGAAGAAGGCGGCCATTTTGAAAAATGGCTGCCATTTTTGCTATTTCCTTTGTTTGTAAAAATGCCATCCATGGCTGTTCGATGGGATTCGCTACGCTTTGGCGTTGCCGTTGTTCTGGTTTGTTATTAACAAATGGAATTCAAAAACTAGATGGTAACTTGATAACAGATCAGGGTTCTTAATGACATCACAGCTGGGTTACAGAGTTTTGATCACTAGTGCCATCTTTAATACTACAACATTCAATATAATTGGATGTCATCAGCTGATCTTTTGAGCTTGCTAATTGGTCAATAATGAGCTCATGTTTTCATGATTACAGGAACTATACAGTGAAAAAGATGCCGACGCCCATAATTGATGCAGCGAAGTGTCAGTCAGAAAGAGCTCAAGTGGCTCTTGAAAAGGTATATTCATTGTTCAGATATTAATTTTTACCCCTATGACATAAGATCTTGATGAAATATATGTTTTTGTAGGCCATCAATTTTAAGTCATTTGTGACCAGCAATCAGCAGTTAATGTGTGACATCTAACAACAATTGTTACAGTTTTGTAAAATGTTTGTAAGCACCCCCGTGTTTTAATGCCTTCTACTTCTAATGAGGTTCCATTTATTTTTGATAAATTAAAAGATTGTTCAGTTTTCAGAAAAATCATAGAAATGAATTAAATTATTAGACTCCAGATTGAAAATCTGGAGTCTATTGCTTTTGCCAGTTTTCTTATTAGACTCCAGATGAAAATCTGGAGTCTATTGCTTTTGCCAGTTTTCTTATTATTATTATTCATTCTTTCTTTCTTTCTTTCCGAACACTTTTTCTCAGCAACTAGAAGAACTTACTTTAACCTACTTACATGGCTAACATAGCCCATCAACCTAGTTTCTGGGAAATTAGGTCAAATTTTTATCTAGGTCAAAGGTCAAGAACTAGGTCAAATTTAGGTAAAATTAACATTCTGTCAATTATCTTCGTTGTTACTTGTGGTAACTCCTTCATCTTTTTTTCAACATGTAGCTTAGAAAAAAACAAATCGAGAGTGTGCCATCCGTTTTTTGATAACTCTTAGCGATTTTGAGATATGGCGTCCGGAAAGTAGGTCAAACTAAAAAAGTTCTCCAAATTTAGCATATGAGCTATGAAATAAGGGTAGAATTTTCTCAGGAATCCGAATCTGCAAACCAAATTTCGATCCGACCTCCCGTTCGGAAGTAATGGCGATTTGAAAGCTCAAAAATCGCTAAATTTGGTGCCCCATGTTAAGTCAATGGGAAAAAAGACTTTTTTTAATTGTAAAATATGAGATATAGACAGAGTGCAGCTTAACATAATGAATTCCTATAAAGGAAGGGTACCCAAAAGCTACCTAGCTTCAAAATTTGGACACCAAAATCCCAAGGTCAAAATCTAGGTCAAATTGATAGTTTTTCCTAATTTTTACGATTCTGACACTACACTTAAATGATTTGCTTCTAAATTTTGTATACAGGTAGCAAAGAGTGTGCTAATAATGTTAGCCTTTTGCCGTCAGAAAGTATTTTGACCCACTTTTGAGATATGGTGTCGGAAATGTAGGTCAAAATAAAAAGTTCTCCAAATTTAACATATGAGCTATGAAATAAGGGTAGAATTTTCTCAGGAATCCGAATCTGCAAACCAAATTTTGATTCGACTTCCAGGTCGGAAGTTATGGCATTTTGAAAGCTCAGAAATTGCTAAATTTGGCCCCATGTTATGTCAATAGGGAAAAATATAATTTTGAAGTGTAAAATACCAGGTATAGACTGAGTACAGCTCAACATAATGAAAGTCTATAAAAGAAGGGGACCTCAAAGGCTACCTAGTTTCAAAATGTGGACACCAAAATGCCAAGGTCAAAATCTAGGTCAAATTCATAGCTTTTCCTTATTTTTGCGATTCGGACATTACACTTTAATAATTTGCTTCAAAATTTTGTATACATGTAACAAAGAGTGTGCTAATAGTGTTAGCCTTTTGCCGTCAGAAAGTATTTTGACCCACTTTTGAGATATGGTGTCCGAAAAGTAGGTCAAAATAAAAAGTTCTCCAAATTTAATTTATGAGTTATGAATTAAGGGTAGAATTTTCTAAGGAATCCAAATCTGCAAATAAACTTTCAATCCGACTCCCAGTTTAGATTCTATGCCATTTTAAAATTCACATTTGTTTAAAATTCACATTTGCCAGTATCCACAATGCAGATCCATCAAATATACTTTCAACAATTCCTACTTACTTACTTACCTACATACCTACTCGGCTACCTACTTAGCTACCTACTCAGCTACCTACTCAGCTACTTACTCAGCTACCTACTTAGCTACCTACTCAGCTACTTACTCAATTACTTAATCATCTACATACTCAGCGTCCTACTCAGCTCTTTACTCAAGTAAATCAATCTGGAGTCTTAAATTGAACTTTGTTCAATTTACCAATCTAGTTATTCTTTCTTTCTTTCCGAACACTTTTTCTCAGCAACTAGAAGAACTTACTTTAACCTACTTACATGGCTAACATAGCCCATCGACCTAGTTTCTGGGAAATTAGGTCAATTTTTTATCTAGGTCAAAGGTCAAGAACTAGGTCAAATTTAGTTCAAATCAACATTCTGTCAATTATCTTCGTTGTTATTTGACGTAACTCCTTCATCATTTTTTTAACATGTAGCTAAGAAAAAAACAAATCGAGAGTGTGCCATCGGTTTTTTGATTACTCTTACCGATTTTGAGATATGGCGTCCAGAAAGTAGGTCAAACTAAAAAAGTTCTCCAAATTTAACATATGAGCTATGAAAAAAGGGTAGAATTTTCTCAGGAATCCAAATCTGCAAACGAAATTCCGATCCGACTTCCCGTTCGGAAGTTATGGCGTTTTGAAAGCTCAAAATCGCTAAATTTGGTGCCCCATGTTAAGTCAATGGGAAAAAAGACTTTTTTGAAGTGTAAAATACGAGATATAGACTGAGTGCAGCTTAAGATAATGAATTCCTATAAAAGAAGGGAACCTCAAAAGCTACTTAGTTTCAATATTTGGACACCAAAATGCCTAGGTCAAAATCTAGGTCAAATTCATAGTTTTTCCTTATTTTTGCGATTCAGACACTACACTTTGATGATTTGCTTCAAAATTTTGTATACAGGTAGAAAAGAGTGTGCTAATAGTGCAAGCCTTTTGCCGTCAGAAAGTATTCCGACCCACTTTTAAGATATGGCGTCCTAAAAGTAGGTCAAAATAAAAAATCTCCAAATTTAATGTATGAGTTATGAAATAAGGGTAGAATTTTCCCAGGAATCTAAATCTGCAAACCAAATTTCGATTTGATTTCCGGTTCGGAAGTTATGATGTTTCGAATTTTAAAAAAGTCGATATGATGATATCCCTCTGTTAAATCTATGGAGCTCAAGAAAATTATGAATTGTAAATATACGCGATAAAGACTGGATACAAATAAAATAAATGAAAGTCTACAATAGAAGAGGCCCTCCGAAGCTCCTTTAATATAAAATTTGGACACTGAAAAGCCAAGGTCAAGAACTGGGTCAAATCTTACATTTCTAACATTCTGTCAATTATCTTGGTCACTATTCGTCATTATTCCCTTATCTTTTTTTCATCACATAACTTAAAAACAGCCCTTTCATTAGTGTCACTGTTTTATTTTGATTACTCTTACCGATTTTGAGATATGGCGTCCAGAAAATAGGTCAACACAAAAAGTTCTCAGAATTCAATATATGAGTTATGACTCAAGTGTAGAATTTTCTCAGGATTCCGAATCTGCAAACCAAATTTCAATCCGACTACCGGTTCGGAAGTTATGGCGTTTTGAAAGCTCAAAATCGCTAAATTTGGTGCCCCATGTTATGTCAATGAGAAAAAAAGATTTTTTGAAGTGTAAAATACCAGATATAGACTGAGTACAGCTTAACATTCTGAAAGCCTATAAAAGAAGGGGACCTCGAAGGCTACCTAGCTTTAAAATTTGAACACCAAAATGCCTAGGTCAAAATCTAGGTCAAATTCATAGTTTTTCCTTATTTTTGTGATTCTGACATTACACTTAAATGATTTGCTTCGAAATTTTATATACAGGTAGCAAAGAGTGTGCTTATAGTGATAGCTTTTTGCCGTCAGAAAGTATTTTGACCCACTTTTGAGATATGGTGTCCGTAAAGTAGGTCAAAATAAAAAGTTCTCATAATTTAACTTATAAGTTATGAATTAAGGGTAGGATTTACTTAGGAATCTGATACTGCAAACCAAATTACAATCCGACTTTCGGTCAAAAATTCCTACTAACCTACCTACCTACATACCTACTCAGCTACCTACTTAGCTACCTACTTCTCAGCTACCTACTCAGCTACTTACTCAGCTACCTACTCAGCAAATTACTCAGCTACCTACTCAGCTGCTTACTCAGCTTCCTTCTCAGCTACTTACTCAATAACTTAATCATCTACTTACTCAGCTTGCTACTCAGTTACTTACTCAGCTACCTACTCAAGTAAATCAATCTGGAGTCTTAAATTGAACTTTGTTCAATTTACCAATCTAGTTATTTTATGTTTTTTACAGATAGAATCTCTCCTTCAAAGAAACCATTGCCCGAGAAAGTTTGCAAGTGACCAAGCTTACAGGCTACAACAAGGATTCCTTATCAGCGCTACACAACAAATGGTTGATAGGCTTGTTGTTCAGGTATGTGATTGGTTGAATTTATTGTTACTATGGCGAAATGAGTTGTGTGACAGCAAATGGTTGATGGCTTGCAGTTCCAGTGTGTGATTGGTTGAATTTATTGTTACTAATGGCAACACTAGGTTCTGTTACACAACATATGCTTGATAGGGCTCTTAGTCCTTGAATGGGATTTGTTGTTGCTTACAATTTTACCATGGTATCAATGGTTATTAGAACAGGACAGCAAATAGTCAACTAGAAGTTCAGGTTTTCATTGGTTGAATATATTGTTACTATGGTGGCAAGAGTAAGAGTTACAGCTACACAACATATGATTGATACAGGACTTTAAGTCTTGTGTGAGATGTTTACTTTATGGCAACTTAAGGTCACATTAAGATGAAGAAATTCCCCAGAATTCACAGCTCTTCATGTGAAGATGAACCTCTTGAGGTTTACACGAGGATAGGTTCATCTACATTCTGATACTCAGACCATCTCTGCTACGCACAAGCTAGAAGGACACTGAGAGAAAGCTGTGATATCTCACGATGGTTCATCTATGAATTCTGGGGTATTCTTCCCCCTCTCATGTTATCTTCCCCCTCTCATGTTATCTTCCCCATTATCACAATGTTACTTCAGGTGCAGGACACTGTGAATGCTCTGGAGAGAAATGCTCTGGATTTTGAAGCCCTGTGATAGGAGGATGCCTCTATTAATGTTAATGTTTTCCCAATGTTACTATTTTCAGGTGCAAGACACTGTTAATGCTCTGGAGAGAAACCCTCAAGATGACATGAAAGAAGACATCGAGAGAGCTGTCAATTGTATTAAAGATGCTGATACATCAAAACAGGTATGATGCTTAATCATCTCTATAAGACCTCATACAACTAGAATTTACACTAGTTTAGGAATTTCAGGCAAGAATTGTCTGTTAAACCTCATACTACTAGAATTTACACTAGTTTAGGAATTTCAGGCAAGAATTGTCTGTTAAACCTCATACAACTAGAATTTACACTAGTTTAGGAATTTCAGGCAAGAATTGTCTGTTAAACCTCATACTACTAGAATTTACACTAGTTTAGGAATTTCAGGCAAGAATTGTCTGTTAAACCTCATACTACTAGAATTTACACTAGTTTAGGAATTTCAGGCAAGAATTGTCTGTTAAACCTCATACTACTAGAATTTACACTAGTTTAGGAATTTCAGGCAAGAATTGTCTGTTAAACCTCATACAACTAGAATTAACACTAGTTTAGGAATTTCAGGCAAGAATTGTCTGTTAAACCTCATACTACTAGAATTTACACTAGTTTAGGAATTTCAGGCAAGAATTGTCTGTTAAACCTCATACTACTAGAATTTACACTAGTTTAGGAATTTCAGGCAAGAATTGTCTGTTAAACCTCATACTACTAGAATTTACACTAGTTTAGGAATTTCAGGCAAGAATTGTCTGTTAAACCTCATACTACTAGAATTTACACTAGTTTAGGAATTTCAGGCAAGAATTGTCTGTTAAACCTCATACTACTAGAATTTACACTAGTTTAGGAATTTCAGGCAAGAATTGTCTGTTACACCTCATACTACTAGAATTTACACTAGTTGAGGAATTTCAGGCAAGAATTGTCTGTTAAACCTCATTCAACTAGAATTTACACTAGTTTAGGAATTTCAGGCAAGAATTGTCTGTTAAACCTCATACTACTAGAATTTACACTAGTTTAGGAATTTCAGGCAAGAATTGTCTGTTAAACCTCATACTACTAGAATTTACACTAGTTTAGGAATTTCAGGCAAGAATTGTCTGTTAAACCTCATACAACTAGAATTTACACTAGTTTAGGAATTTCAGGCAAGAATTGTCTGTTAAACCTCATACTACTAGAATTTACACTAGTTTAGGAATTTCTGGCAAGAATTGTCTGTTAAACCTCATACTACTAGAATTTACACTAGTTTAGGAATTTCAGGCAAGAATTGTCTGTTAAACCTCATACTACTAGAATTTACACTAGTTTAGGAATTTCAGGCAAGAATTGTCTGTTAAACCTCATACTACTAGAATTTACACTAGTTTAGGAATTTCAGGCAAGAATTGTTTCATCGTTTATTAGGGCAAGTTCAAAATATGTCAACAATGATTCCTTTTTCTGTTCAAAAGTTGTCCATGTAGACCCTTAATTATAATATGTTCAAAAGATACTGCTCAAGACCCCCTATCATGTTCAAAAGTTGTCAATAAACAATGAAGATCCCAAATCATGTTAAAACATTGTCTATTAAGACCCCTTATCATGTGCAAAATATCTCAATGAAGACTCTGTAATGACTCGAGGACGCCCTAGGGGAATGACTAACTAACGAGCATAGTGTAACAAGCCAGATAAAGAAATTGAAAGAAAGTGTGCTAAATTCAATGCCCTGTGTGGGAATCGAACCTAGGACCCTTGAATCCAAAGACTGATGCTCTACCGACTGAGCTATAAAGGCTTAAGCCACTACAGCTGGACTGTAGTAGCAACTTGCTATCAAGGGTCGTTACAACTCTTATTCTGCCGTTACTACTCAAAAACAATAGAAAGTGCTATTTAATTACAAACCTTGTGCATGTATTAGATAAGCACTGTAACAGTAAAATGTAAAATATTGCATTTTAGATAATTTTAATGTTTGTTTTCAGTTGCTACCAAGGCTACAAGAAATTGCATTTGAATCTGAAAAAGAGGGTGGCACTATACAGAAAAAGCTCAATGAAATATCGCAGAATTTGTCAGACGTTTTACATGATCAACTCCAGGAGAATCTAGGAGAAATGGTGACATGCGCAGAAAAGCAATGTCCAACAGTTCTTTCTGATAAGGTAAGTTTATCTTCTAATATTTCTTAATAGTTTATAGGGTTTGATTTTGTTTTGTGTTTCTACAGTGTTGTTCTTTGTGAATTTATGGTAGTAAAATGGTGCTATTTGCAAGAAATTCACTTAGGGAGTATTAATTTCGACCCAAAATGAATTATGTTCAAAATGATGAACTAATATATTACATTTTGACAAATTGAGAAATAATTATTCCCTGTATATCTTGGCCTAGAGATTAGGTCGATACAAGGAAGTTGTTTGAAAATAGATATTTTTCAATGAAATAATATGAATTTTATTGAAAGATACTAAATACTTGTTTGAAGTGTCAAACCTCTGCTTATTTTGATATTAACTTATTAACCTCTTGAATCCCAGGCTCTAAAATTGGCATGAAACCAGAGAATTTTTCATTTTTTGCCACCTTTTGACATTTTATTACATACCTATACAACTTTAGATGCTCAGCTTAGTAAAATTGGACGGCAGAGATCATTTCTACACGTTTTAAAACAATTTTTGTGTAAATTGGATGAAAATTGTTCAAATGAGAGCAATTTTTGTGAAAAATTTTGTGACGGATTTTCTCGTCCCTCTGGGCACCAGTCTTATTTCATTTGTGACGGATATATCCGTCACTCTGGGTATTCAAGAGGTTAATAAAATGATGTCACTCAAAAGTCAAAATCATGTGATATTGTATATGATTACTAATTACATGAGGGTTATATCTATCATGAACTAGTCAATTGCCAATGCTGATAGATTTAGTCAGATAAGTACTTCTAGAGAAAATATTGTGATGGTTACATTTTAAAATGCAAAATAAAGGGGAAAAGAGTGGAATAAGCATGGAATAAAGTAAATAGACATTTACTACACACTCTAAATTGTATAGAAATGCGAAAATATCAGACACTTTATTCAAATTTTAGAAAGAAATAGCCAGAAATGTGTGAGCAGACGGACATTTTAAAAGAGGGCTTAATATGTACTTAGGCTTATTGACATTAATATATATTACACTCTCTGCACTTTATTCCTTATCAATGAATATTTGTGTATTTATGTTTAGTCATTCTTATGTGTAACAATGTTTTACAGAGGGGCATTTTGTCAGAGTACTTCACTCAGTCTGGTTTGATCTGTTTTAGCTTATTTATTTTTTTATTTCTGTTTATAGTTTTCTCTAAAATTTTTGATTTGTAACCTTTGAAGCGTAAAAGTGCTTTAAAGTGATTTGAAGTTAGCAGTACCTTAGTTAAAAGTGTTAAAGCTAGAAGTTTAGATTGGAAGTAGCTAAGTTAGAAGTACCCAAATAAGAAGTAAATTACCTTTTTGAATGTGAGCTTTATACCCTACTTCAAACGAACAAATGTCAACTACAGTGAAACATGTAAAGTGGAACATCTCTAGAAGTGGAACACCTCTGTTAAGTGGAACACTTTTCAAAGTCCCAAGACCAAATGATTTTAAATGAACACCTCCCAGGTGGAACACTTTAGAGGTAACAAAGGTGTTCAACTTACACAGCTGTTAACTGTATATTGTCTACAGATAAGAGTTTTATAAAACCCCATTCATATATACAGAAAAATGGCAAATAAACATTTATAAAAGGTCATGATATTTTATGAGGATTTTTTCGTGTGCACAATTAAATATGTTGAAATAACTTTCAGAAATATATTAGTGTTTGTTTAGGTTTTAAAGGTTTGCCAATACTTATAAAGCATACAAATAGATGGTAAAAATAAAGCACCATCAATATTTACTTGCGGATCTTATTACAAGGTGCTAGATCTAAAATTCATGTTTTGATCAAATTATCACAAATTATCACACCAAATTATCACAAATACCACCCTTTAAATGGTGGGGTGCAAAACAAATTTTCAATAGGGTGGCATGTAATTTCAGATTTTCATCATGGTGCAGCACCCAGTTACTCTTATGTGACTCTCTTTTTTTTCTTATACAGTACATTGTCAATTTATTTCATCAAATACGTTTTATACAAGAATGGCTTGCCAATCGCATAAAGCATTATAGGCTAAGCTAATGTGACTCCCATCAATGATTTTTGAGATAAAGTCTAAAATAATGTTTACATAGACCATATTTATTCTGCGGTTATATGTTGTAGGGGGTGTATTCCTCATAGGCCAAACTCCAGTTTGTATATTTTTAACATAATACATGTAGATTGCAAACCTGGGCTTAAAATGAATTGTACTATTCATAAAATCAACTACTATCTCACTAAATCATCTTAAATGTGTCTAAATGTTTGTATTTCTATACAATTTAGCGTGTTGGCTACATGCCATGGTAATTTATTCCTCGTTTGTTCAACTCTTTTCCACTCTATTTACACTTCAAAATACAATAGTCGTAAACTTTTTTTTGGGTCATATCTTGATAGTGATTTCATTTTATAGTCTACCTTTATGATGCATAGATGTAAATATGGATTTATAAAAACATATAAATATTCAATTCATGAATTCTGGAATATACCAAAGGATATAATTACCCTAGAGACCAGCTACTAAGAGAGATATTATCTATAACTCCAAGCATTATTTTAATCATCAAACTACTCGATTGGAGAACTCATGTAAGTTAGTGATATTTCATTGTTGTGTGATAATATCCATCATGTATGTCAGAAAGGTTCTAATGTAAAGTTAAATGTATGATATGTATGTTTTACATTTTTAAGGACAGTGTGTATTTATTTCTGTAATGTGTTTTTTGATATGAATATTGAATAGGCTGGCCTTGAAATACAAAAAATTGATACATGAGCATTCACATGGCCTTTAGATATTATCTCTAAAGCAATGTTACTTTTTTCCTTGAATATCAATTCAATGTTAAGCAAATAATTGTGAATACCTTTAGTCATATATCTCAAAGTACGCCTAAAATATGACCTGTATGACTAATATAGTCATGATGATAAAGGAACACTTTTAGCCATGTAATAATGAACACTTTTTGCCCTCTATGTTTTCTATGTATCATTTTTTCTTGCTCCATAATATAAATATGCATTGTGCAGGCCTTCAAAATTTAATGACAAAATGAAATGATATGGACACCAAATAAAATGAACACTAATGTCTTTAAGCTGAATAAGTATGAACACCTTTAGCCAACTCAGTTGGAACTTTTTGAGCGGAGTAGTAAATATTGTTACTCATAAAAAAATATTTTAACTGGAGCTATGTTTGAAGAATACAAAAATATATTTAGTTAGAGTTCATATTACATATTTGCTCAACTGAATTTAAATGTCACATTAACCAAGAAATGCATCATAAAGTTTACAGTAAAACTTGCCCAATTGAAACACAACCGGAACCAGCAAAAAGTGTACATTTGGCAGATGTCAGTATTTGTGTACAGGGTTTTCATTAGCAGCAGGCAACAGGCGATTTTCACCAGTTGTATTCGCAAAATTGCCTGTTGTTTTAAGGGACTTTTCAATGTTAAATTTATGATTGACATTAGTTTAGCCTGTTGTTTTCAGTCATTTAGCCTGTTGTGAGAAATTCAAGTGTAACCCCTGATGTATATTTTACCTGGAAAGTCAGATTAAAGAAATAGGACGAAAAATAGTGTTCACAATGAGAGGTGTTCAGATGACAGTGTTGTTCAAATATACATGTTTAGCTGTATTTAGAAATTCATTTCAATCAATATACAGTTCTGAGAAGTTCTCATGATTAATGAAGATTTTAACTTTTTATAAAAATTGAAACAGTGTGACATTGTTTTCTTCTATGTGTTTATTGGGTGTAACATCATTCATAGTGAAAAGTAAACAAACATATTTGACATCTAAGTTAAAGTTTGGGTAGTATTGTATGAATTTCTTCCTTCTATTGAGGTGAATACCTTAAATGTGTTACAAGTGGTAATCCATGAATCCATTTTGGTTAGTGATATTGCAGTGATATTTCACAAAGCCTTATATGGCAAAGGGAATACCACTTTGTTAAAGCTAGCTCCACTATGAGGTCTTTACCAGCAAAATAATGAAATATGTAGTTTATTGGATGAAATTTGGAAGCAGGAAATATTACTTTGTTAAAGCAGTGAATATTCAATTCAATTCAATTTATTTCATAATTCTTATATAATATACACTATAAAAACAAGCCGCTAGACACCCTAGTGGGTATATGTTGCGGTTTAACAGAAATCATTAAAATGACATCTAGACTACATATAAAAGAAAACACTTATATTATGTTACATGTAGGTATATAAAAATGGTATTAACAATTAATCTAAGGATGTACAATGTAAAAATGTTACAAAAATCAGGTACCAGTATAAAATCAACAGTATAGTATGATATTGGTATTATACATTATCGATAGATGAGTAGTTTTTTATATGAAGATTTGAAAATATTTAGAGTGGAGCATTTTTTAATTCCTCGGCAGGAAGAAGATGTATAGGATTAAAAAGTTTATCGGAAAAAATGGAAAGAGATGATCCATATTTTATTTTTTATTTTTTTATTTATTTATTGGAAACGCTTTTATTACAGCGGAACACAAATGGTTCTTCCAGACATTGGCAAAACATTTAAAAGCATATATCAGTTTACAGGCATTATATATAAGAAACTAAAACATGTTATTGGGTCTGGGGTTTATATACACATTTTAAAAGACCCTTTACACATTTATCGAACTTAAAAGCTTCTTCTTGTCCCCACAATGTAAAAATGTCCTCACCTAAGGCCCAACATGTTTTAATTTGCACACTGGCTGATAGAAGACCCGACGATAGTGCTGGATTACATTTTTCAATAACATTTTTATAAAAAGTATTTCTATCATTACCAAAGAAAGGGCAAACAAAAAGTCTATGTTGGATGGTGTCTTTTACATTTTTATCACATAACGTACATATTCCATTTCCCTGTCCCCATTTTTCGTATTCTGTTTTTAAGCCAAAACACCCTGATCTAGCTTTGAACT